ATTCACCACTACCAAAATGACTGTGAATCCCTTTGAGCGAGGTAGGCCGTCAATGAAGTCCATGGACACTTCCTTCCAAACTTTGTTTGCAAGTTCAAGGGTTGGAGTAGCCCTCCTAGTGCCATCGCCATATATTTATTTCTTTGGCACACCTCACACCTTGCCACCAGCTCTTCCACATCTTTATGCATGCCCTTCCAATAGAGCTCCGCTGCTAGCCTCCTATATGTCTTCTGAACTCCTGAATGGCCTCCAACTGCACTGCCATGGAACTCCTGCAACAGGTGGGGGATATGTACGGAAGTTCGTGGCATCACAAACCTCCCTTGATAAAATAATCTCTCCCCCACAATGCAGTATCCCAGATGGCTACCCTTGTCTTTCTGCAGGTCCTCCCTGATCTTCCCCAATTCTTCATCTAGCTTGCTTTCTTCCTTGATGGCCCTCCAATCAACCATCCATGGTACTGACAGAGCTAGCTCCTGGAGCTCCCCAACACATCTGGATAGGGCGTCAGCTGCTTTATTTTCCAAACCCGGCTTGTACTGGATCTTGAAGTCGTGGCCAAACAGTTTGGAGAGCCACCTTTGATGCTCCTCAGTCACCATTCGCTGCTCCAGTAGATACTTTAAATTCCTCTGATCAGTACGGACAATGAAATGTCGCCCCAAAAGGTAGGGGCGCCACTTCTGAATGGCCAAGACAATCGCCATTAGCTCTCTCATACACTGATTTCAGTCTTGCCCTGGTTGATAGCACTTGACTGAAGTATGCTACAGGCCTGTGGTTCTGCATCAACACTGCGCCCAACCCATATCCTGACGCGTCGGTCTCTACCACAAATGCCTGACCAAAGTCTGGAAGGGCTAGAACAGGAACAGTCGTCATAGCTTCCTTTAACCTCTTGAACGCCTGGGTGGCTGCCTCTCCCCAGCAAAAATTGTCCTTCTTCAGCTGCTCAGTCAAAGGCCAGGTAATGGTACTGTATTCCTTCACAAACTTCCTGTAATAACCAGTCAATCCTAGAAAACCCCTCAATTCCCTGAGGTTCCTAGGTAGCGGCCATTTCTGCATTGCTTCAATTTTAGTTTGATCCGCTGCCACTCCTTGAGATACCACATGTCCCAAGTATTCCACACTTGCCTGAGCAAAACTGCACTTCTTCAGGTTGGCTTTCAACTGGTGCTCCTGAAGCACTTCCAATACCACTTTCAAATGTTTCAAGTGCTCCTCCACAGTCTTGTTGTACACGAGGATGTCATCGAAGAATACTAGGACGAACTTCCTGAGGTGCGGCTTGAATACCCGATTCATCAAGGATTGAAAGGTTGCGGGAGCCTTAGTCAAACCAAAGGGCATTACCAGAAATTCATAATGCCCTTCATGTGTCCTGAACGCTGTCTTTGGGATATCTGCCTTCCTCATTCTGATCTGGTGGTATTCGGATATTAAATCCAGCTTAGAAAACATCATTGCACCATGTAGCTCGTCTAGCAGCTCATCAATCACAGGAATTGGGAACTTGTCTGGTATAGTGCCTTTATTCAGAGCCCTGTAATCCACCCAAAATCTCCAACTCCCATCCTTCTTTTTGACTAGGAGGACTGGGCTAGAAAAAGAGCTGTTGCTGGGTCTGATAATCTCCGCCTCCAGCATTTCCCGGATCAGCTTTTCAACCTCATCTTTTTGAATCTGTGGGTAGCGGTAAGGACAGACGCTGATCGGGGTCTCACCTTCTTTCAAAGTAATAGCATGGTCCAACTCTCTCTGAGGAGGTAAACCCTGGGGCGGGTGAAAGACCTCGCTGAGCTGGTGTATAAGCGGCTGTACTGCAGAGGGAACATTGCATTCTTCCTCCAATCTGACCCCTTCCAGGCGGTGCAATTCTACTAAGTAGCCTCCCCCTTCTTCCTGAATGGTTCTGATGAGGGATTTGAGAGAAACCCCTGTCTTGGTCAGTCCAGAGTCCCCCTGAATCGTCCTCTTTCTGCCCCCAACCACCAACTCCATTCTCAATGTACCCCAGTTGATTTTGGTCTCTCTTAGTGTCTGCAGCCATTTTATCCCAAGGATGACATCCGTACTCCCCAATTCTAAGGGAATGAAGTCTTCCTTTACATGGATCCCTTGAATCTTCAATACTACTCCTCGACAGACTCCTCGTCCCATCTCCATCTTCCCGGTGCCCATCATTACCCCGTAACCTCCGATATCTACTAGCTCCATCCCCAATGCATCAACAATCTGGGTGGAAATGAAATTGTGTGTTGCTCCACTATCTATCAACACCACCACCTCACAGTCAGAGATCTCTCCTTTCACCTTCATAGTGTGACTCAAAGTGAATCCCACTACTGAGTTCAAAGAGACTTCTGCTACGTCCAGATGCAACTTCTCCTCCTCCTCCACCTCGGGGTCATTCCCACCTCCCTCTTCGTCTTCCTCATCTTCACAAATGAGGAGAATCTGAAGAGATCGGTCCTTACACCTATGCCCCGGCATGTACTTCTCATCACACCTGAAGCACACCCCTTTTACCCTTTTTTTCTTGCAGCTCCTTCTCAGTCAGCTTTTTGAATTGCCCCCCGTTACCTCCTCCTCCCTTCTTCTCCTTGGGTGCTTCCTTCATGCTCCCGGGGCCTGTCCCTTTTGCTGGTAAGAATGTGGTCGTCGTCCTGTACGACCCCCCAGAATAGTTTCCCCGAGTCCCTCTTTCAGACTTCTTCTGGTCCTCCACCAACTGGGCCAACTCCATGGACTTGCCTAGATTCCTAGGCTCCAACACTCTGACTGTTGTTCTTATCTCTGGTTTCAGCCCTTTCATGAAATTCCCTTCCAGGGCTGACTCCGAGATATGATCCAGCCTACTAGCCAGATACTCAAACCTGTCCCGATAATCCGTCACGGTGCCTTCCTGGGTAAGGGCAAAGAATTGCTCATAGAAGTCTCCTTCCCCATCGGCTCAGAAACGCTCTAGTAAGCAATCTTTGAACTCTCGCCAGCTTCTGATGGGCTTCCGTCTGTCACGCCATTGATACCAGGCTAAAGCTTTCCCTTCCAAGCACATTCCTGCCGTTGTCAATTTTTCTTCTTCGGTCAACCCATTGACAGCAAAATATCGCTCCACCTTATAGATCCCACTCATGGCCATCTTCTCCCTCAAAGATGGGCATCTTCAGCTTCCTCACCTTTGGATCTCCTCCACCTCCCCGGTATCCCCCATAACCTCCCATTCCTCGAGCTGGAAGAGCTTTCCAAGTGTCCCGATTATCCCTCCAACGATTATACTCGAACCACTCATCATACTCACCTCTCCTCCCTTCAACATCATCACCTCGATGCTGAATCCCTTCAAATTCAGCACCTCGACGATGACGTTCCTCCCTTCTTCCTTCAAAATCCCCCCTCGACGCTGAATTCTTTCGAATTCAGCACCTCGGCGATGGGATCCCTCTTTCCTCCCACCAAAATTAGCCCCCCATTCTGTCATATCCCATGCCCATCTCTTCCCTCGAAAGAGGCTCTAGAGGAGGCATGTCGTTCTCTTCCTCTAGAATCTCCACCTCCGACTGTCTCCTCCCCCGTAAAGGGTTCGGATTTCCTCCCATGCCATGGCCGTCGGTGGTCTCTCTTACTTCCGATGTCGTCGGATTGGTTTTCATCTCAAGAAGTTTCTTCATTATTTCCTCCATTGCCGTAAACTTTTCCTCCAACCTTTCATTGTTGGAGGTGAGTTGATTTTGGAAGTTGAAGAATCTTTCCTTCAAATCGGCTTTCAATTGGCCGACTTCGCCTTCCAAGACGTCAACCTTCTTTCCGGCCATTATTCTTCTCAAGATTCATGAAGATCTTCTTCCGGAACAAGAAAATCCGCTGAAATTTTCAGGAAATCAGCCCCCAACGGTCCCAAAAAAGAGGCTCAGATATCAATTTGATAGGAAATATTTGAGTTCGCAAGTAAACCTAGTCAAAATTAGTCCAAAACAGTGAGGAAAACTGCTGTCCCAGCAGTTTAACAGCGATCACGCAGCAGGAAACACACCCAAACAGAGAGAATTTAGGAAAAGAAATAAGGTTTTCACTAGTAGATGCATGAAAACAAAGAAATATACAATGTTCTTCGATTCGAGAGGAAGAACCACTCTCCACAAGTCTCTAGTAAACCTTAGAGCCCAAGCACACCAAGAGATCTCAAATTTCTCATTCAAATTCAAGAAGATGACCTCTCTTTCCCCCCTAATCTCCTAATTATACAAATTAATCATAAAGGACAATAATGGACTTCCTAAAACAGCTCCTCATTCAAAAATCTCCCTCCCAAAATCAGTTTAAGTAGATGTGGGGTCCACAGGGGGTTCCGCCCCTTTTTGCCGTTTCCTCCTGGCATAGCATCGGACCGGTCCACTCGTAACAGTATCATCTTTAAGCCCATATTTTTTTGCTTTAGTGATGGATGTTCTTACTAGACATTTACGAGAGGATGTTCCCTGGTGTATGCTTTTTGCTGAAGATATTCTCTTGTTGATAAGACTAGAGAGGGAGTTGAAAGAAAACTTGAATTATAGAGGTCAATATTAGAGTCTGAAGTTGCTACTTGTGTTTTTTTTAGCTGCATTACTATGTCAAGCTTGTTGAAAACTTAAAACTTTGTATGGTTAGATAATAATGACGACTGACCTTACAAGCATACTAAGTCAATTCCAACCATTTTAAGCTTGTTCCGGATGTTAATAAGTTAATAGTAGTATTATTAATTATGCTTCACTTTTTTTTTTAAATGTTTTCATGTTTTGCCTCACAAAATTACTATTTCTATGGGCATCTTATTGCATCATGGTAGATATTTTTACGCCACAATTCGCATTTTGCTAGTTTCTCATGTTTGCTTTATTTAGCAAATTTAACTTTTTCATGAAGATTCTCTTTGCTTATGTCGAAATTTGTTGTAATAGTTGCCTATGATTGTGTCATGTGTTAATTATTGAGTTGATCTTCTGCAGCTTTCCTATCAAATTGTTGATTCTATGATATGGCTTGGAATACGGGATATGATTAATGATTTTAGAAAAAGAAAGTTGAAGTTGCGGCCTGTCACATATTTGAGTGGTGCCCAGGGCTCTTCATCTGATATACCCCATGGTTATATTTGGAGTCCTCAACTTGTCCCAAAACCAAAAGGTACTACTTTGAAAAAAAATAAAAAAATAAAAAATAAAATAAATAAAAAGGTACTACTTTGCTATTTCTTCTGTCCCCACTCAAAAGCCAATTTAAAATAATTAATGATATGAAATTAGAGTGATTAGGAGAAACATCAAAATGATTCATGGACTAATTTGTATGGGATCATTTTAGTCTGAGATTATAAATATGTTCAATTTTGATCCCTTGACCCTTCAAATATGATCTAAAATTATTTTGAATCAAATTTAAGTAGTCATTGGGGCTATTTTGGATCATATTTGAGGATTTAAGATGATAAATTTGACATATTAAATGGTTTGGGATTAAAAAAAAAACCTAATTAATTTAGGAACCAAATCAATTTTTTTTTCTGAGTCATTAGTATCTTTTTGGGTTGCTAATTTTCATTTGAAGAATAAGATACTGGATGAATATTGCATATCTTGTACTTGGATTTCTTTATTTTCATTTCCCTCTTTCATTGTCATCCATATTTTTATTTTGAGTTGAAACCCATATCTACCCTTTCAAGGTAAAAGGCCGTATCACTGGATCACATGTCTGGCGAGTTCAACTACTAATATGTTCTCCTTTTATGCTTCTTTATGAAAAATTTTCTCGGTTACTTTGGCAGTAACGTGCCATCTTGCCTTCATCCACTAAGAATTTGCCTCATGCAACTTTTAGAAGCAGTAACATGCTGTTTTAAGAAGCAATATAAAAACCGTCCCAAACAAAACCTTAAAGTTTTCAAAATTTGTAGTTTCTTGAATTATATTAATGAATATTCTAAAATGTCATTCTTATGCTGAAACTTCATACACTACCCATCTCATGTGTTATGCTTTTATTGGAGGAGCATAATGATATTAAGCATAGTGTAACTTATATGTTTTGCACATCATGTATTTTCATTGAGTTTGTGTGTAGTGATCTATAGTTTCCCTTCCATATTTTTTATTCTTTAATATATATTTTCTTGCAACTTTGGGTCCGACTTTTCCCTTGCTTCTTTTTGTATGCTAATCTCTTAATTACCTGCAGATTGGGGGCCGAAGGTTGATGTTGTAGGGTTTTGTTTTCTTGACCTCGCAACAAATTATGAACCCCCAGAGCAACTAGTTAAATGGCTTGCAAGTGGTGAAAAGCCCATCTATATTGGATTTGGAAGTCTTGTAAGTTATGATCACGATTTATGTTCTCCTTAGTACCTTTTCACCCCTTATAAATGAGCATGCCCTATCTTTATAGCTCTTATTAGTCTCATTGTCTATTGCCATCACTTGTCGTTCATTAACCTTATCTTGTCATCTTCGTTAAACTAATCCCATTTGTTATCATCATTGGCCTTTTCCTATGAATCCTTCAATTCTATGGAGTGCTGTATGTGGTATTTAGTTTATGATAGTCTTACTTCACATCTGCAGCTATCAAATCACTTTTTTTCATATAATTTAATATGTATTTATGTATGTACGGACGTGCATATATATATATATATAGTCTTAGCCGTTCTATAGTTCACTTTGATAATTTCAAGCTGCGAAATAGAAGTCTGTTAAAAGATTAATGAGAAATATATATACATTACTTTTTCAACTTTTAACCTGTTTCTGCTTATGCTATAGCCTGTGCAAGAGCCAGAAAAAATGACGAAAATTATTGTTGAGGCACTGGAAATTACAGGACAAAGGGGCATCATTAATAAGGGATGGGGTGGCCTTGGAGACTGTAAGTCTGTTTATTGTCTTGTTTCTTTTGATTACACTTGTGCATTTTTTTTCCTGTTATCAATCGTTTTTTTCTGTTGATGCAAAAAAAATGGTATCTTGACAGTACCTGAACCAAAGGAGTCTGTTTATCTATTGGACAACGTTCCACATGATTGGCTATTCTTGCATTGCAAAGCAGTGGTATGACAATTGTGGCAGCGACCTGATTTTTTCCCCTTTCACTGTTTTCCATGAAATTTCTAGCTCCCATTTTTGTATGCTTGTCAGTCTAATCCATGCAGGCTAATTACCAGAGCTTTCTCCACATGCTGAATAGTCAAATTTAATGGTTTCATTTCTTATTTGTGGCAGCCTACTAATCACACAAAAGTTTCTGATGCAATTATATGACTTAGTTTGGTACACTTAGGCTTTGTTTGAGACGGCTATCTTCCTGCTTCTTAAAACAACTTTTTAGTTAACAAATTAAATTTTTTGTACTAGAAAGTTGCTTTAAGAAACATTAAAAAAGCTGTCTCAAGCGAAACCTTAGTAGAATGCATATTCTCTGTACGTCAAGGCATAGCTCAATAATAGAAAGGCCTAACAAAATGAAAGTACAACCATAATAAAAGTGTCTCGAATGTCATAGGCATATAAGATGGACGTGGCAATGGCAACAATGATGAAGATTGGATGCCTCTCATTGAGTACTCTCTCGATCCAAATGGTGTATATGATTTGCTTCAAGTTATGCGTGCAAAGTTCTTTTTCTTCCTGCCTAGGTCAGCTCCACTTGAGTTTTTATTATAATTATGTGGCTTTCATAGACCTGCGGCCCTTTAGCATAGGTTCATAAAGGTTTTCAGCTCTATAATAGCACCCCCTGTGGACATCCTTGAATAAAACAAGTTCTAGAGGGCAAGGCTGGTATTAAACCTTCTACTCTTATCAAAGTTAGACTGAAACCTGTAACTTGAAGCTACATTATTTTAGCATGGTAGGTTGCATTAAGTCAATGACAATGGTATAGGAAGTCAATAAAATCACTCTATAGCCTGTTTTGGTGAGATGCCTTATGAGTTCAAGTAAAGGTACTACTTATGACTAAGGTTTCTATTCTATCATCCAAAACCTTAGGCACTTGCATTGCTTTATCTGCATTAAAATTTTGTTCTCTACTCAAACAGTTAAGTACATCCTATTTATAGTCATAAACGAAACTAAATGTGCAACACACCAAATGGATCATGTTTCTCCAAAATTATACTTTAGAACTTCATTACTCGGGTAAAAAAATGAAAGAGACCTTTTGGTAAACTTAGTAGAGTGCATATTCTCCAACATCACATTGAAGTAGAAATAGGCCAGCCAACGTGCCTATTAGAGTACATCCTGCTCCATCAGCTGGGGCATCTTTGAACAGAAACTTATATATAAAGTGCACTATAGTCAGTTTTTGTTCTTGTTGCAGATTTCATTCGACAACTGCATGAAGGATAACTTGGTTTTAGTCTCTTAGGCTTCGTTTGGGACGACTTTTTTTTATTGTTTCTTAAAGCAACTTTGTAGTAAAAAATTAAATTTTTTTACTAAAAAGCTGCTTTAAGAAGCAATAAGAAAGTTGTCCCAGACGAAGCCTTAGTTTACTATTTTTTGTCTCTTTTGAGTCATCAAGAGTGCTTAAACTTAGTGTTGCGACATTTATGTCATTTATACTTCCTACAGATCCATCATGGTGGTGCTGGAACAACAGCTGCTGGCCTCAAAGCTGCGGTATGTTACATTTTCACTAGTTTCTCATTTTGGTGTTGGGCTTCGCCAAAATCTTATAAATCAATTGTTGCTGGCTATTTCATGATGTCTAGTGCCCAACTACAGTTGTACCTTTCTTTGGGGATCAACCCTTTTGGGGCGAGCAAGTGCATGCTAGAGGAGTAGGGCCTGACCCAATACCTGTTGAACAATTCACACTGCCAAAGCTTGTTGATGCCATAAAGTTCATGCTCAACTCACAGGTACTGATTTCAATTCTTCTTCAGTTATTTATAACCCGTTTTTGTAAGTTAGCTTTCATGAAGGTATTGAATTTAAAGCACCGTCCTTAAAACAGTTAAATATTCTATTTGTATGTGTCAGATAAGGTAAGGTAAGATGCCTGCGCCATCAACTCCACTCGGGACTTGGCTGGTTGAATTTTTTTTTTCTTCATAGCTAAGAGCATCCACTTAAAGGTTGTTTGGTTGCAACTATTTAAAATTTCTGTGAATTTAAACTGCCCTGTATTTAAAATACAGGGAATTATTTTCTTGTATTTTTGGTTGGAACAAATAAAAATAAATTAAGAAATGAAAAAAAAAAAAAGAAACTGACCCAGGGCATGCGAGTGGCTTTGATGGTGATGTTGGAGTGGATGATGATAGAAGCTTGTGGGGGAATCACTATGAGAGAATATGGGGTGGTGGGAGTTCAAGATGGAGGGATCACTGTGGGAGCTTGCCTTTGCGGGCTTTGAAAATTCGTGCACCAGCCTCTTCGCGCCTCTTTATTAATGGTTAGAGTTTTAACGAATTTAGGTTATGGGGTAAATTTTCAGAAGTCAGATTAGGTTTTAGATAAGATACTACCCAAAGATTTCGTCCTCATTTTATGAGGACTTTATGATCTGAGTTTTGATTTCCAATAAGTGCAAACCCCTATGGTTAATTACCCATTCCGGTAATGAGAGGGAACTTTAGATTAAGGCTAGTTGTTTAATAGGTCGCAATAATTAACTAACATATAATAGAAACGATTTTAGGGTTTGAATTTGGTTTTGAATTTTAGAGTTTATGGCTTGAATTTTATCACCATATACTTAAAGCGGGTGATGTAGAAATGATGGCAGGCCCGATCAAGATCCTATGGTTCTGTCGTAGTCCCTAGTCTACTTAGTCAGAGGAGTTAGTAGACCCAATCTGATAGAAGAATCCTTGTCAGCAACCATGATTTGCGTCTTTCAAGCCACCTTATAAATCTGGGGTGGTTGTTTCTAAGGGTTGAATTTAAGTCAATCTTATATAGCATAGGGCTTTAATCTTATAGAGTGCATCATATAATTCATTACTCATGAGGCTCTTAACCATTAGGGACTATACAGGCTTTGATCGTGATCGTAATATAGTTGCATCATTTTGTGGCAAAACCACCCAATCAGAGGGTATGTGGCACGACCTTGTTGGCAAGAAATTAATCGAGAATGAATTGTAGTAGTACATTACACAAGACATCTGTTCTTTGTGAGTTGAAGTTATTTTTAAATTCATTATCCTCGCCAAATCGTTGCAAAGTGTGGATGGATTTTGATTTTAAAATTTTAATGACGAATTTTGTTTTAAGGATTTAAACTTTTAATAGGATTTGAATTTAGATTTTGAATGAATGACTTCAGAATTTTGAAAGGAAAATAACTCTATTCGTTTAAAACTTTTTGTCAACACAGTTATCATTGGAGTGTTTAAGCACTTTTAGCAATCCGTGAAGCATACAGATCTCATATTTAAGAGTTTGGTTTAAAGATTGGAGCACATGCGGAATATAAAGAGTGGTGGAAGTTCTATTAGACACATATGAGAAGCCATCAATGATGGACAAGGTAAAACTCTTTAACAATCCTAAAGTTTTAATACTTGAGATTTCTTGTTGATGATGTGGTTAGGCTGACCGATTAAGAAAGTTCAATAGATAGAGCATAGGATGATCAAGACATTGAGTGTTGTTTGTGTAGAATAAATAGTTGAATGAATTTGAATCCGTTGAGCGATGAGTAATGCTATTTAGACTGGTTGTATTTTGTTAGACATGTGATGAAGTAATCAAGTAGTTTCAACCTTTGCTTTTTAAGAAACTTTTGACAATTGTAAGGAATCTACAATGATCCTATATGGTACGGTTAACCATCCACTTGATAGCTCCAATTTTATCCAATTCAATGCCAAAAGCTTGAAGATTCAGACTTATTGTGTTTGGGGCCCTATGCATTGAAAGCTTTATTAGTGATGTTTTGTGATAGGTTTTCAAAGAACATTATTTACGAAGCTTTGTCATTTAATCTTCTTTTTAAGGAGATATATAGAAATCTCCTTGCTTTATATATCAAGTCTAATATGAATTTAGGCATTTATAGATCTTTCATGCTTTTCAAATCGTACTCTATTTAATTTGGATGATCTTGTTCGATCATCGATTACCATTATGCCGTTTGTGCCCATGGGGATGAGAATATTGCACCTTTCTCCATCTGTTCTTAAGTGACAAATTGGATTCTTTTTCTATTAGCCTTGCTTTTCCTCGAAGCCATATCGAATATAGGAGATGAGATTATTATATCAAAATGGATAGAAGTATGGCCAAATAGAAAAGGAAATCAGTGAATTTTGGAAAAAGGTTGTTACTAAATAGATGATATATAGTGTTCAGTCTCAAAATTTTAAAATAGATTGAAAACTTTTCATCAAGGAAATGCATTTTATCTTCAAAATTTATCATATCTTGACCCCTTATTTGATTAAGATTTTGTAGAATATTATAGCCTTTTTGTGAGATGTGTTAATCTTAGGATATAGTATAAACTATCATTTATTGTCATGAGGAATGCATTTAGAAATGCATTACCGACACACTTTTGATAATGATTAGCACTCTAGTCTACTTCCTTGATACGCTTTTTTTTACATTAAGTCGTGTGTTAACTTTGAATGTTTGGAATGGATCCATAATGGCTTATTCCTATTGTTTCTAATATTATACTTTAATATTAGAAAGGAATGGCCTACGAACACAAAGTATATCTTATCAAATTCATTATGTGATGAGGACATCAGATCATGGAAAGTATATCAGAGACGTGGACGACGATCGACGGCCATGATCACGCCGATCTATTTTTTATTATTATTGTATTAGTTTTATGTTTTATGAGTTTTGTTATTTTTCTTCTGTTTATACCCTTGCTTAAAGGGTTTAGTCGTATGTGTGTCCTAGGGGCAATTATGTCTTTTGTTTTCATTCATTATGTATGGCTATATATAAGCCACTTGTATCTTTTGAAGGTTAATGAAGAATTATTATGAAAAAAATTCCTGCATAGTGTTCTTGAGAGAGTTGAGAGAAGATATTGGAGAAGGAGCCTAGGAGAGGCCAAGCGTAGTGCCCAACAGCCACCATCGGTGAGCTCTTGGTTTCCCTAATCGTATCCTTTCATTCTTCTCCTCCTTTCCTACCCATCGTCGGCACAAGTCTTCCCTTACCCATTCCTTCACTCCACGAAAAACTGCCCAAACCACCTCCCAATCGCCGTCAAGCCCACCGGCCACCCTTCCTTTCTCCACGTCGCCTCCACCCCCTCAAACCACCGCCCCCTCATCCAACCAAGCCCCAACCCGCCGGCCCCCCCAATCTCTCACCTTGAATCCCACATTAAATTTCCCATTCAATACCTTCCATGTTTGGCCACATTTTTTTTGGGAAAGAATTTGAATTCAAATCTAATTTATTTGAATTTCTAAAACTTCCCAAATCAACCCAATCCATTTTGGAAACCATTCACTCTAGTTAAAACCTGAAATTAATTTCAGATTTTAATTATTCCATCAATCATTAATGTCATGGCCCACATACAACGAATTTAGACACAAATACTCCTCTCTCTCTCATGGTCGGCCCACTCCCTCCTTAATTCTCCTTAATCCTTGCCTCAATCAATCAACATTTAAGCCCCCAATTAAGGAGGATTAAATGCCCTTCCCTATTACGTTTAGATTTCAAATTTTAAATCTCTTTCCCTCCAAAAGCTCCCTCATAATTAGGAATTCAGAATCCGGCTGGCCCTAAATATGAATTTAATTTCAGATAATTTTAATCTCCCTCTTCCCCCCTCCATCCAAACCCGAGCACCAAAGCCAAGTGACATCTCCCCATACTTTGGCAGGCCCCTATTGCTTGCTGCCCTCTGTTTTTGGAAAGTTACTGCTTGTTGGCCTGTGATCCCAGCAAGATTAACTTGCTGCCAAATGATTCCCAAGACTGCTACAGGTTGTCTACAGCCTCAGTTAATGCATAGTTGCTGTCCGAGCTTACTAGGAGTCAGCTACACTGCTGCCGATCAGATTTCTGCGCTCCCATGCATGCAGGCCAGCCCCTGAATTCATCCCATCACTGTCTAGACCTTCCATGGTTGCTATTTAGAGCTTCGAACACCTGAAACCTACTGTTCAGGCAACCTGGAACGTGTAATTGTTGTCCAAGAATTGCAAGGTGGTTCCTTATTATTGAGGTGAGCTCTCTTCCCACTCTTATATCGCCTGACTCTACTTCGATTGTGGAATTATTGAGTCATAAAGAATTGTGTTAACTTCCTCCACTAGACCCTCATGATTAAGAGAGTGATTAAGGGGATGACTTCATGGAAACTCATCTTGTTGTTAGATTAGGGATTTTTGTTGAAGCTCCACTGCGCATGTTATACTTGATCTATTGATAATTTAAATGTTCTTAGCTTTCGTATGTGACTTGGCCTAAATTGACATCACCCCACTCTTGTTTGATTTCATCGTTTGAAAATCCCCATCAAGTTTAAAACTAATATTGCTTAATAACGATTCAAGCGCGCAAGATTCCTCGTAAAATTCTATCTGCATACTTAGTCCTGCATCATTATGATTGTAGATGCTTCATTGCATCCAATTAAGATCATTCAATTCAATCTTTTATACTTTAAGAAGGCATCATTGTCCAATCTCTTTTGTAAAAAAAAAATCTCAATTTAATAGAGGTTTATTTTGCTCTGCTAACATTTTATGTAAAATATAAGAAATTACAATAATTACTGGAATTGTGTTGCAACTTGATAGATACAAGTAAACCCCAATAAGTTAGGGATAAGGCTTATGATAGTGATGATGATGATATGCATATTTGAAAAAAATGAACAACTAATTTTTTTCATATCTACATTATTTTTAATTTGAGGGGGGAAACTCGATCGGTTTGGTTTTTATTTTGTTCTTTTTTTTTTGTTTATTCAAAAATTTATTTTTAATCTAATTATGTGAATGTCGTCTACCATTCGACAGCATTTCAGCATCCCACCTCGTATAGGGGTGTTGGTAGGCACTTTCCTTTGTTTATCCTAGACGGATCTAAGATATGACGGCGCGAGGTTTTGGCATAATTTATTTCTTCCTAGCCAGATCAAAAGATATAGCGGGCGTGGGGTCTTCTTTTGTTCTTGCGCTTCTCCTAGCCAGATCAAAGATGCAACGGATGCGAATTCTTCAATACATGTTGTTTAAGCAAAAGAAAGAAAAAAAATATACTTTTTACTGTAGGAAGAGTAATGTCGACAGGTCGATGGGTTGAACGTGTGCACAGGATGGTCGCGGGTTTGGAGTCGGACTCATGCGTACAGAGAAGACAAGAGAGCACTGAGGGGCTTCTACTCTTGTTTTTGCATGAGGTTGAGTGAACAAGAGAGGGGCAATGGCTTCTTGCATGCGGAATCGAGTGAACAAGAGGGGGAGAGTGCCGGCGGCTCTTGCATGCGGTCGAGTGAAAACGAGCAATACAAATAGGACGGGAGGGCTTCCTTGCATGCGTGAGTTCAAATTAATAGAGAGGGAGCGAGCGGTGTTGTTTGCTTTAGTGCCTTGAGTGGGAGTTACGTGAGGGGCGGTTATGAGATCCTCGGTAAGTTCGGGAGATTTAGGTTAGAGGGTTGGTAGTCGACAACCTTCAACTGACAATTGTGATGGAAGACTCACGATGGGTGCTTGCAGGGAAATCGCGAAGGGGGCTCATTGAGACTCATGGGGGATTCATGACTATTACTCGTCGTGGAAGAATGATGGAGGAATCACTGCGGGAGCTTCCACGAGGAGATGCATGGGGGCTCGCAGGGGAATCATGATGGGAGCTAGATGAGGAATCTTGATGTAAATGTGATGAGGACATCGTCAGCATTTTCGACACGTGTACCATCAGGAGACGCCGGAGATCGACGGCTACGATCATGAGTTCATTTTGAGTCATTTTATGTAGTTGTTTATTTGAATTTTGTGTTTTTCCGTTTTTGCCCTTATGGGTGGTTAGTTGCTATTGTAGCCCAAGGGGCATTTTAGTCTTTCATTTTTCTTTGTCATTGTGAGGCCTATTTATATGGCCCTTCTCTTGTAATAGTTTCCCGTGTCGTTCGAATCCGTTGAATTTTCCCTATCTTCCTCCCCTTGCAATTGCCGCCGCCTAGCCCTGGGCCGCCAAAGCCACCGGTCACCTGGCTGCCTCCTCCCGCCGGCCAGCCCACCCTCCAGGCCTTGATCCGTCGGCTTGATGCTCTCCCCGTGCAGCCACCCCTCTGCTGCTCCACAATCTCACGGCTAACAACCAAGCCGTGAGCCCCCAGCCACCATTTCCCTGCAGCCCCTTGCTGCCAGATCTCCCTGCTTTGCCCAAGCCCGTGAAATTCAAATCCAGGTGTTTGAATTAATTGCCTATTTAAAAATCCATCTTAAGGCAAGGCAGTTAATCCTCCCGTCCCCTCTGTTTTCGCCGGCCAGAGAAGCAGCCACCACCGGCCAGCCTCCCGCCGGCCAGCATCCGGCCACCTGCCGGCCAGATCCCCGCCAGCCACCCCTTCCGGCCGCCTCCCCACTTTGAATTCCAGAAATTGCCATTAATTTCTGTGAATAAACACCTTCCTAATTGGTGCTCATTCATTAACAAGCCCATTAATGAGATTAAAGCCAATTTCAAATTTCAAATTTGAATTCCCTCTCATTTCAAGTTTGGGAAGTTACTTAAGCCATAATTAAATTTGAAATTAAAATTTCAGATTTAATCCAATTTCTTACTTAAACTTGGGCCCCACTCTCATAACTCCTAAACCTCCCTCTCTCCTCCTCATATGGCCGGCCACTCTTAGTGGGCCTCTCTCTCCCCCAAATGACAATAATAATACCACGAAATCAGCCCAAACTCTTTCCCTTTTCCGCCCCCATCAACTCCCTTTTGAGTTAATTTGAATTCTTCAAATTAATTCCCTCTCACCCCTTCTAAAACTGAAATTACTTCAGATTTTCAGTTTATTTTCTTTTGAGCCTTTCTTTAATCCTTTATCTCAAGGGCTCAAGAAGAGAGTTCTCCACACCCATGAACGGCCGATCCCGACATCGACCCCGGTTACATCTTTGATGGTCAAGGAAGAAAGGATAAGACGTTAGATGCTCACTAGTCATCCCATGAACTACCCGCCACCGGCTATCGCTCCAACGGACTACGCTTTTGTGCGCCACTTGTCTCCTAGTGGCATCACTCGGTTGCTCTCAATCTTCCTCCATTAAAAGTGCCACCAACAAGAGAGTGAGTGAGAGACTCAAGGTGAAAGTTCTATTTGTTAATTGTGGATTATTGTTTCTCCCCATAGCATTACTCTTTAATTTTATGTTGTCAATTTGATACCGTCCCGTTAATCTAGTTTTAATCGCATGCCTTACGTAATCTCGAATTGATAATTCTGAAAACCTAACTTGGGTAAGCCTTAATTCTATAACTAGCCAAGCTTTAAAATCTTATATTAAAATCCCCAAGCAGTTCTTTGTTCATCGCATGATCGTTCCACATCAAAATGAGTCACGATGCGGTGTATTTGGAATACGCGTGATTTTTGTGATTTCCAGATACGCTTAAAATGAATTAAATGAGGCTTCCTCCCTCCCTCCTAAATTGGCCCCCTTCTTAATATATTTCCCTCATTAATTTGAAAATAATTCAATTAGGAAAGGATATCATTAGGAAAGGATTTCCTAATTCATCCCCTTTCCTAATTTATCTCCCTTCTTAATTTGAAAATAATTCAATTAGGAAAGGATCTCATTAGGAAAGGTTTTCCTAATTGATTTTCTCATAATATAATGTACTAATTCTTGCTGGGCCCCACCCCCTTAACCTCCTTTCTTTTCTTATCCAGCCTTGCCGTATCAATACTACCCTCAAAAGTTCCACCTTGCCCTCAAGGTGGAATGCTGGGAATGGTTGCTGGATAATTTGTTAATCCTCCCATGTGGCCTCATGCTCTGGTAGGTCTTTCCACCGGATCAGCACCTCTTTTATTCCTGTTACTCGACGCACTTCTTTGACCTCTAATGGTTCCAACAACACCATGTCGTTCATCAAGGTCGGGGGAAATAAAGAAGATGAAATATACTCTCCTATCACCCGCCGCGACTGGGACACATTAAACATCGAGTGGATGGCTGACGATGGTGGTAATTGTAGGCGATAAGCCACGGCCCCGATGCGCTCTACTATCTCTTAAGGACCAAAATATCTGGGTGATAACTTCTCATTCTGTCTTTGTGCCAAAGATTTCTGTTTGTAGGGGCAGAGCTTCAAATAAACCATATCCCTCACTTCGAACTGAATGTCCTTCCTTAGTGCATTTGCTTTCCTTTTCATAATTTGTTGGGTTCTCAACAAATGACCTTTTAGTTGTTATCTGTTATCGTATTATTGTCATAGTCCCTTCTCCATGATTAGTGGTGCAGGAGCTCCACCTATTTCTCAATTCTCTACTGCAGGTTTGGAGATTCATGGGCTTACTCCATGTAGAATGAACTCCTTATTCTTGATAAAAGGTGTAAAATTTATTTTTCATCCTTGTTGACACACTGGAAAATTGTGTTCCTATAAGATAGTGTATTTTTCAGCATGTATTGCCCTCAATCCTCTTCAACGAGATACTTTATAGTTCTCATTGATTCTTTTGCTACTAATATACTATGGAACTTCATGAATATATAATAGAGCATGAAATCATATCTGTATATGGGAATATGATCCACATTTCCATTCTGCGGTGAAGGACCTACACGTGATATTTGCGTCTCCTGATAGCTTGCATCTACGGTATTAATTGGTGTCATATATGTTGGGCAAATAAGTGAATCCTATTCAAAACACAGTGAATAAAAAAACATTAAAAATTAAACCTATTAAAACACAAAAAAAAAAATTATAGTATATCATTTTTATTAGTTATTTTTTAATATAATTGTCATACTTCAATTTGCCTACTGTTTTCTCTCTGCTTTTTAGAAGTTTTTGCTGAGGAAATCTATTTTTTATTATTAAATTTGCTCGAATGGGTAGCTATCAGAACGTTGTCCTTTTCAAAAATAAATGCCTGCAACAGCTTTTAAGAATATTGTTTTTCCCACAATAATTTTGTAATCATCTTTATAAAAAACTGCCGTCGGCCATACAACAACAACATCAAACCTTTCTCCCACTACGTGCTATCGGCCATAATGAATCTTTAATTGATGGTTACTTCATATTTTCATCATTATAGATTTCTCTATGATTTATTGCGGATAATATAAATCAAATTATTTTTAGATAAACATAAGGCTAAGGCTTCGTTTGGGACAGCTTTCTTACTGCTTCTTAAAACCATTTTTTAGTACAAAAATTACTTGAAAGTTGCTTTAAGAAGCAGTAAAAAAGCCGTCCCAAACGAAGTCTAGACTTCGTTTGGGACGGCTTTTTTACTGCTTCTTAAAGCTGCTTTTTCAATTAGAAATTAAAAATTTTGTACTAGAAAATTACTTTAAGAAGCTGCAAAAAAGCTGTCCCAAACGAAGCCTAAATCTACAACCGTATTTTCTTATACGGATCAAAAATAGGCTCCACAATTTAACATTATATGTTTCTAATAACTTCACAGGTGAAAGAACGGGCAATTGATCTGGCTAAAGCCATGCAATCAGAGGATGGGGTTGCTGGAGCAGTACATGCCTTTCTGAGGCATCTACCGCCTCGACTGATGCAAGCTGAAACTTCACCAACTGAGCCAAGGTTCTTAAATTCCTACTTCGGTGCTTTTAGGAGATGCCTGGGCTGTGCCTGATCATTTGTGCATATATATTTGCTCATCCATCTTCACTCCCTTCACCTAGGGGCTTGTTTTAGCATATTTAGGCTTCGTTTGAGACTGCTTTCTTACCGCTTCTTAAAATAGTTTTTATATGAAATTTCTTTAAGAAGCAGTAAGAAAGATATCCCAAACGAAGCCTTAGGCTGTGTTTAGTTACTGAGAGTTAGAGTAAAGAAGAAAAGTAGTTGAAAATATCAAATTGATGAATGTAAATTTATAATCAATCAACAAGTTATTGTGATTTTGCCTCATTTTCTTCATTAGCTTTCAATCCAAACAGAACCTTTGTTAACTAGTGATTGCTTTATAGCTATTTGTATTTGTAATTTGTTTTTTTAGGAAGTTTGTGAAAGAAACACTAGGGGATACTTTTTTGTTCAGATTTTCTTTTGTATAATATGGAAAAATCTCATTATATTTTTTGTAAACTACTGGCTTTTCTTGCACTGAAACTCTAGCTGTTTATTGCCTTATTTGCCATGCCATTTCATTTCAGCAACCTAATCCTCATATGGAGCTGAATGGTTTGATTGATAACAGTTTGCTTCTGTATGATCAGAACCTGCAGTTTTTTTAAACCCAGTTCTGGAAGCAAGTCTCATTGCCATTTAAGCTTTGTTTGGGATGGCTTTCTTGCTGCTTCTTAAAGCAATTTTTTAGCACAAAAACTTTAATTTTTTACTAGAAAGTTGCTTTTAAAAACAGCAGAAAAGCCATCCCAGATGAAGCCTAAGGCTTTGTTTGGGTTGACTTTCTTTCTGCTTTTAGAATAAAAATTAAAAATTTTATATTAAAAAGCTGTTTCAGGAAGCAGTACGAAAGCTGTCCCAAATAAAACCTTAATCATGTCTTTCAGCTTGGTGAGTTTGATGTGGTTTCAAATTGGTTTTGGTTGAAATTGATCTAAAACCAGTTAATTTTGGCTAGTCTTGACTTAAAAAAGATTTTGATTAATTTTTATGTAAATTTTTGAAATTTTATGTGGATTTTATTATTTTTAATGCAATTTTGTTAAAATATTTAGTAATAGTCATAGTTTTAATACTTATTATGGGCTTGATTACTTTCAAATTGGTTCTTACTATTTTGTTTTTTAAATCACATTCATATTTTATGTTTGACTATTTTTCTCTAACTGCTTTCAAGATATTTTTTTGCTAAGAAAATATTTTTAGAGCAAATCTCAAGAAAGTTATTTTCCCCATGATAGTTTTATAATCAATTTTATAAAAAACTATAGTTGTCTTGAACAGATCCTTAGGCTTTGTTTGGGACGGCCTTTTTATTGCTTTCTAAAACGGAGTTTTAGTACAACATTTTTTATTTTTGTACTAAAATTTCGTTTTAGAAAACAATAAAAAAATCGTCCCAAACGAAACCTTAATCTCCATCCTTTTAGGGAGTATTAGCGCTTTCACTTTTCAATTTTAGTGATGGCTATTGAAACCATTTTTTATCTTGAGTACAAAACTTGTAGAAGTCTTCATGTTTATTGTTTTATTGACCCCTTATAAGATAGTTAAAATGAAGGATGAGTCACTCCATTTGGATAAGTTTGGTGACCATTCTTATGATTTATCATTAGGAAAAATGAAGTTGGTACACCTCTAATAGGATTGATTCTCTTATTTTTTATCATTATAGTTGTCCCAAATAGATCCTTAATTCGAAGTGCGTGAATTTTTTTTCGAGACACCGAAGAAGAATGAAGCAGCATGAGCTTGTAGGACGGAGTTATAAATTAGACTTCCAAACAATCCTTCGATTATGTTTCATAAAAGCAACGTAGGTAAAAAGTTGTCCCAAACGGAGCCTAAATGTAATGACCAGCAGTGAATGGCCTTATGTGCCTGAAATTTTTTTTTTAAAAATAGTAAATAAAAAAATTATAAAATATTAAAAAAAAGCAGGAATTAGATAAATAAGATCATTACTTATTTTCTCAAATAAATATATTCAAAGATTATCTTCGGATCAAATTATTATAAAAATTTTAAAAAAAAATATTTTAAAAAGTAATAAAAAATTTATCCCACTCATAAAGTAATAAAAAAATTGATAATTTATTATTTTTTATAAATTTTCTAAAAGCCCCACACGTGCTTCATAAATATCTAAAAGCCACACACGTGCTTCATAAATATCTAAAAGCCCACACACGTGCCAAGAAATCCTTTGGCCTCTTCGTGTAGCGGCACGTGGATTTGGCTGGGTGGAATCAGCCGCTTGCGAAAGCCACAGTGGAAAATAAAAAGTCGCACGGATCTCGCTCTTTTGAATTCTACTATAAATAGTCCACAACAGATGAGTTCAATTTCTCATTCGACAGCAAAGCTTGAAAGATTTTTGCCTCTTGATTCTTGAAGAATCGTTTGATTGATTTTTCTGCTGTAATGGCGAGCACCGTCGGCGCTCCGATCATCTGCAATGGTGAATTGCTTCTGATTTCTGTTTTTCTTTTAAGATTTCTTGATTTGTTTATGGGTCTAAGAGGGCTGATTTTGAGGGTTTTTTGTTTTTTTTGGTTATGGGCGGTAGCGGCGGTTGCGTGGGAGGCGGGTAAGCCGCTGGTGATCGAGAAAGTGGAGGTGGCGCCGCCTAAAGCGATGGAGGTTAGGGTTAAGATCAAGTACACTTCGCTTTGCCACACCGATCTCTACTTCTGGGAGGCTAAGGTAATTTCTCTCTTATTTTTTGGGTTTATCTAATATTTGCAGTTTGATTACTTTGTTTTAATTTTTTATTCAACTTTTATGAACAAAGTTCAAGATATCTTGAACATTTTTAATATAAAATCTATGATAAAATAATTATACATTAATATTGACATGTAAGCAACAAAACAACTTTCATATAAAGTTGAAAGAGAAATTTCGCCAAAACATACATTAATTTAACATATAAATTATAAATTCATGAAGGCATGTGCTGTAAAATTTACGACAAAATAGCAAAATATCAAGAAAAACAATTTTGTTTGATATTTTATCTGGCACTTGATAATGTATTTCATATCACGTATCAAATTTTCTAGATCATTCAGATGGGAATTGAGTCAGGATGTTTTAACCTAATTTTTTTTTCCTGAATTATATGGCTGAACAAAAAAAGAAAGAAATCTAACATGATTCTTATCTTTCAGGACCAGACTCCCTTATTTCCTCGCATTTTCGGCCACGAAGCCGCAGGGTAAGTTATTCTATGAGGCTTGGATCATGCTAGATTGAGAGATAAAAAAGTGATCTAGTTTGTGTTTTCTGTTAGAAATGCTCGTAATTGTGTTTTTCTATTTCTGAAATGATCAGGTCATCAAATATTCCATGTTTTTACTCTCTTGAATTAAAATAAGAGAGAAGGAGAGGGATTTGAATTATCTTCCATCATCTTGTTCATGTTTGGTTGACAGGATTGTTGAGAGTGTTGGTGAGGGTGTTACTGAACTCAAGGAAGGAGACCATGTTCTTCCTGTCTTCACAGGAGAATGTAAGGAATGTGTGCATTGTAAATCAGAAGAGAGCAATATGTGTGATTTGTTGAGGATTAATACTGATCGAGGTGTAATGTTAAGTGATGGAAGATCAAGATTTACTGCAAAAGGCACCCCTATCAACCACTTTCTTGGAACTTCTACCTTCAGTGAATACACAGTAGTTCATGTTGGCTCTCTTGCCAAGCTTGATCCATCTGCTCCTCTAGACAAAGTATGTATCCTCAGTTGTGGTATTTCCACAGGTAACTACACTGTCAAAGCTGTTTTTTTTCTTCACCTTAGGGGCTGTATGGCTACAAATAAGATTTAGGCTTCATTTAGGACGGTTTTTTTGTTGCTCTTAAAGCAACTTTCTAGCACAAAAATTTAATTATTGAATTAAAAAGATGTTTTAAGAAAAAGCCTAAGAAAATCCTGTAAATCCAAATTTATTCGGTCTCAAGAGGATTAAAACATGAAAATTATTTGAGTATTTGTTTTAGAGTTTAAGATTTGTGAGATGAGAAAGCTTTAAATCTATTGAATCCTATGAATAGAGGGATATAACAAATCTTGGATGTAATTAATAACAGAATTGAAATATTATTTATGAAAACTACAGCATTTGAAGTCTCGAAAATTCTGTTTGGGAGGTTTGAAGCTTAATCTTGCTTAATCCTTCCTAAATAGGATACCAAACATTCCCTAAAAGTTACAGTGGAATAAATATGATATGGCTTATAAGATTTCTAAAACATGCCTACAGGGTTGGGGGCAACGCTCAACGTTGCAAAGCCAAAAAAGGGATCCACTGTAGCCATTTTTGGTCTGGGAGCCGTTGGTCTTGGGGTAAGGAATATAACTTTTTACCTATCATTCTATTATAAATTATGGTCTAAAGTTTATAATAAACTGATCATTTTAATTTCCTTAGGCAGCAGAAGGTGCAAGAATTGCTGGAGCATCACGAATTATTGGTATTGACTTCAACCCAAACCGATTTGAGGGAGGTAACTCACCAACTTGAGAAGTCTCTTTTACTTTTCTTAGTGTTATTCGATAATTTTTAACTGCAAATTTCTCTCTAAACAACAGCAAGAAAGTTTGGTATAAATGAGTTTCTGAATCCTAAGGATTATGATAAGCCAATTCAAGAGGTGTGTATATAGTATATCTTGGTTAGATACTTTTTGATTCATCTTTTGTTCTGAGACTGACCTTTCTCCATTCATGGTGCTTCTTATGAGCTTCCATAGGTCATTGCAGAAAAGACTAATGGTGGAGTCGACCGAAGCGTCGAATGCACTGGAAATGTTGAAGCCATGATTTCTGCATTTGAATGCGTCCATGATGTATGTAAATTTATAAGTATATTTTCTTGTCTCTTATCTTTAATAAGAGAAGCTCTTACGATGGAGTCTGATAACAGGGCTGGGGAGTTGCTGTGCTGGTTGGAGTACCAAGCAAGGATGCCAAGTTCATCACAAAGCCTATAAATTTATTGAATGAGAGGACTCTGAAAGGAACATTTTTTGGCAACTACAAGCCTAGGAGTGACCTCCCTTCTGTTGTTGATATGTACATGAGGAAGGTAACTTTCAAAAACTTATTTTTGTTTGTTCTATTGAAAAATAATAAGTCCATATAAGAATAATAAGTGTAAAAATACTCTATATTCAATAAAATTGCTAAATTATGAAGGTTCTTGTGCAGGAATTGGAACTGGAGAAATTTATCACCCACAGAGTAACTTTTTCGGAAATCAACAAAGCATTTGATTTGATGGTGAAAGGTGAAGGACTGCGTTGCATCATTAGTATGGATCATTAGAAGAGGTGCTGCATATTTCTCGCTGTTTTCATGTTTTTGGAAATAATTAGGGAGGTTTTAAGCTTTCCTATTGATATACTCCCCCATGACATATTGTAATAATGTGTCTTCTACTACCATACTATTAGCAAGTAAAATTGTTTTGTTTTTCAAGCACCCACCGTAATTTTATTTTGCTACTATTTTTTATTACCATTTGCTTTCTACAATTATAATAAGGAAATTATTTTTTCCACTATAATTCCACAACCAACTTTATAAAACATTGCAGCTATTCCAAACAAACTCTCAAGTCCTTCGAATAAATAAAATTGATCCAAATATTCTTTTGAGAGTAAATTAGAATCAATTATGTATACAAATTCTTTCTATGTATGATAAGAGGAAATTAATAAGATAAATCTTACCATTAGCATATGTAGACTTACCTTTGATTGGATGTGAATTTGATATAAATAAGTATTCACAAAGCCCATAATTGTTTGAGGGCTCATAGTTTGATTGATTTGGTTGCATTTGTGCTCTATCTACTCTTGTAGCTTTTATTGCTACTTTCTTGACTTGAATAGCCTTTAATTTTGCTCTTATTAGCTTTATTCGTGTTTACAATAGATATAACTAATTAATTATGAATTAATATAACATTAGGATCTAAATGACATGATTAATGAATAATTATTAGAACACAATAATGTGGTAAATTTTCAATACAATATCCCATACACAATATGACATCTACAATGAGAGTAATAAGAGAGGGAGAGACAAAACTAGAAAGAAAATGAAGAGAGTGTGAGTGGATGTTTTATAATCCTCTCCCCTTATTTTCTTCTATCATAGATGAAACCCTTATGAATATTTTATCATCAACAACAGCAAAGAAAATATTTCTTAAGTATTAAAAAGCTGCATCAAAAAGCAATAAGAAAATCATCCCAAACGAAGTCTAAGTAGGAAAATATGAAGTTATAAACACAGACAATAAACTTTGCAAGCAGAAAAATTAAGTTCTAGAATAGTAGAGAAGTTATTTCATATCAAGTATCAGAACAAATTTAAACTCTCAAGTATTAAAGTCACCAAACACAATTAGAAAATAAACTTGCATGACCAAGAAGGATAGAAAACAAAGGAAACTGAATTGTTTATGAATCTCAATTCCACCAAACCATTAAACCAAGAGTCCAAATCTGTGGGAGCCTTTGACAAAAAGCATATTGATCAATACCTTCGAGGACCGCGATCCAAGAACCTCCCAGATGGGCATTCGTAAGCCAAGTGACCGCGACCACCGCAGTTATGACAAATCATCATAATAGGTCCTCCCATGCAATCCCTGCTAATATGACCGAGCTGATTACAGTTTCGGCAGACGATATCTCTGAATCCTCCTCCGCCGCCCCCGCCACCGCGGTAGAAATTTCCACCTCTATCTCCAATGGCATCAGCCTTAGGGCACTGCCTAGCTACATGACCTGATATGTTGCATAGATTACAAACAGGCTCATTTGGGCAATCGCGAGCTAAATGCCCGGTTTTCCTGCAATTGTTGCAGGCTTTCTCGTTGGTGCAATCGACAGCTATGTGACCTTGCTTGTAGCAGTTGTTGCAGAGTCTCAGATCACCTGGTGGAAGCTCAGGATTTGGGCAATCTCTCGCGCGGTGGCCGGACTTCCCGCAGGTGTGGCAGATGCCTTCATTTGGGCATTGGCTGGCCATATGGCCAGGCTCCTTGCAGTTCCAGCATAGGGCCTTGGTAGTGCACTCCGCTGCAATGTGCCTGGTAAAACATGAATAAAACAAAGAATCAGGTGACACTAAGGCTTCATTTGGGACGGTTTTTTTCCTGCTTCTTAAAGCAGCTATTTAGTACAAAAATTTTAAAATTTGTACTAAAAAGCTGCTTTAAGAGTAGTAAGAAAGATATCCCAAATGAAGCCTAAATTTGAAATTTTTGAGAGAAGTGATGATTTAGTCAAGACCCAGCATAGTACTACTAGATTTTGAGAGAGAAAATAGAAGATGTATAAAGAAAATGTTGTAGAATTTTACCCAGGAAGGCCACAGTTGTTGCAGACTGCAACGTTAGGGCATTCTCTAGCATAATGTCCAGGCCTCTTACAGTTCATGCAGAGTTCCGGTCGCCTGGAAAAAATTTTTGAAGGAGAGGCAACCAATCACTATCGGTAAAAATAAGGGTTATCAGTAAAAATATGTAGAAACCATGCAACATAATAGTAAATTTTAGGTTAAATCATCAAACAAAGTATATAAAACATAATAGGGGCATTTGGATTAAAGTGCCTGAAGATGATTTTGTTCCCAAAAAGGAAGCGTTTCTTGCATTCAGACCTCCCAGATTGTTTCAATTTAATGGTACAACCGTACAATGATCAATGTCTAAGTGTCACCAACATTTACTACCCTCTCCAGAAAAAAAGATCACAATCATAAAGATTTAAAACCTCCTACAATCTCTGCTGTAGTCTAAACTTTCTTGATAGTAGACAACATATAACAGAAGAATTTCATAACCAATAAATTTTCTAATTAGGAGACCCAGAAAAATTCAAGAAATCAACAACATCCAAAGTGAATTCTATTTTTTTTTTTTTAGAACAGAGGTATCTACCGCTGATACTCCTTCCAAAAGGAAGGTTTGGCGGAGTAACTAATCTCTCGGTGGAACCTAACGAGATCACCCACCGGTATCAGGCCCACAATTGCCTTGCCCCACTGAAGAGGTGAGGCCGTAGTAGAAGGGATTCAAACCCGGGATGAGGGTTCCAACTGTGCTGGCCTACCAACCACCCTAAGACTCGATGGGTGAATTCTAATTCTCACACCATATATCTAACGAGCAAGCTAAAGCTTTTGATGATATATAACAAGCTAAGTGCTAAAGAAGAAAAATAAAGATAAAGAATAGCTAAAATGATATATAAGAGATTTAGACATTTTGATGAGTTTATAAGTTAAAAATAAAGATATCAAATGAGTTTATTAGTTAAAAATAAAGATATCAAAGAAAGGTGAAGATGCTATTTGAGAAATTATTAAATAGAAGTTTAAGAAAAATTATTTTAAAAGAGATGGATGAGATATTAAAAACATGTTAAGATTGTGCTATACATAGAGTCAAATTTACAAGTTATACAGAAACATTATGGGAAAGAACTAGAAAACACACTTAAAAAGTTAACAATAATTTTATAGTATCAATTTGACTTCATGCCAAGAATATCTAAGCGAAGATGAAATTAATGCGGTCGAAAAAAAAAGTTACAATGATTTTAGAGCATCAATTTGACTTCATGCCAAGAATATCTAAGCGAAGATGAAATTAATGCGGTCGAAAAGTGATCTATAATTGGTATGTGAAATAGATTAATTGGATGTACCCTAACACAACGTGCTCGTTCCCTTAAATTATAGAGGATTTCTCAAGCGAATAAGACACATAAATGCCCTTCGACTCTAATACAAACCAAACAAGATATGGTCTCCCTTGGCAAAATATGTAGTGGTTGGCATTCATATATGATAAAACTCCTTGAACACCGACAAACTTTGTTCGACAGCAAAAAAAATGGTACATAAGCATAACACATGTTAAAGAGCAAAAGAATGCCCTTGTATAATAGGTTAAAGCTACTAAGGATTCCATAAGATTAACCTCGCAACGTAAGTCAATGATAGATGGTGTGAACTGACAAAGATACATCATGCCTTAAATGTAACATGCAGTCAACCATCATTGCACCATAAGATGCTCCAATTTACCTTATGTTGGCTTTGTAACAAGAAAGCCCCAAAATTCAGCTTTTCAATGTATGTTACCTTAGTTTAGAACAGGCCATATATTGCAGTGGACAATCAATGCATTTCATTTTTTGGTCAATCAAACCCCGTTTACTCTTATCAACACCAGCTAGGCACTTATAACTAAATCAACATAACTACCAAAACATTTAAATGTTCTTCCAAAATCACCAAATTATCAAAAGTTACGTAACAATGATCAAACACAACTTATATGTGTTTCTTAGAATTTTCTCCATCAATATATAATAGCTTTAGGTCACATTTTAAGACAAGAAAACAGATATGAAGCTGCTAGGCAAAGATTTAAGCTTCGTTTGGGACGGCTTTCTTACTGCTTCTTAAAGCAGCTTTTTAGTATAAAAATTAAATTTTTTGTACTAGAAAGCCGCTAAGCAGCAGTAAGGAAGTCATCCCAAATGAAGCCTTAATAATCACTTAACACTAGTTTCTAGGTGAATGTCTGCAAAAATATACAAATACCTAGGATAAAAAATTAGAAACAAAAGCAAATAAAAAACATCTTATTAAGGAAAGAAGAATGTCTCACAACAAGATCTATAACCTGCACATATTTACTTAACGTTCAGCATGAAAATTTCAAAAAAATAAAAAAATAAAAATAAAAAAAAAAATCCAAGAAATTACCCTCAAATGGGTTTATTCAATTTATCGGATCTTGGATCACAAGAGATGACTCAATACTGAAAGGTAAAGTTAGCATACCAATTGTATTTCATTAAAATTTCTAAGCATAAAGTAACCACCACTTCAGAAATAAACAACTATCATTTTTTAATGTCATTTAATTTCAACAAAATGCAGCACAAGTGTATTATTAATGTATCTAAAACAGGTGGACTCAAGCTAGCAGTTAGTATAGCAAAATGCTCAAAAACTAGACTGCAAATCTAAAGATGTACATTAGTATATATCATTATAAAAAAATAAAATAAGAAAAGACCACCTATAATCATAAATGAGCCATGAAAAGTATAACATCCTATGAATAGTACAACACCATTAAAATTACAAAGACAATATCTTCTATAACCATAAAACTTTAATGATTTGCACAAATAAAAGCAAAAACCTGAAGCTCCGGCGAGAATCCCGTTTGTATGGAGCATCACGAAACGAGGAGCGTTCGGAGCGGATCTTGCGTTCTCTTGGCGGGCTGCGGCTACTTTCACTCATCTTCAAACTTCCTCTCTTCCAGAGCACCAACTGCTACAGATCTGCAACACCTCCAGTAACACCACCACAACCAACACCAATACTTCTCCCCCTGTCCAACCATGGATCCAAAACCACCTCCATAAGTCCACATCAAACCCACATTACCTTCCTCCAAAAAATAAAAATAACCCAGATCCAGGCCACATAAGAGGCCACATCAAATGTCAATGTAGCATTCTTCATTCCAGAGTATTAGTTCACCCCTACCAATATATTCCATTAACTTTTAACCCCTTTTCTTCAACTACAACTACTTCAGCAATTATAAATCTAGTTCATCTGAAGATCAGTAGTGAAAGTAATCCTACCCCAAATATTGTTTCTACAACAACTTCCACAACAGAAAATCCTTATTACTCTTCAAAACACACGGGGAAGTTCAATGCCCTATGCAAATCCATCGAACATGCAATCAGACTTTGCCAGCAAAGACAAAATGCACAACTGTAGACATTTATGGGCAAATCAAATAGTACAAAATTTTTAAAAAGTTTTCTTACCATTTTGTATTGTAATGCGGGTAGAAAAATGAAGGATCTAATCGGGCGAATAAATTATTTAACAAACGTTTAAGTTTTCATTATTATATTATCCCCAAAAACAAGAAACAAAGACCAGTCTCAGAAGCTTCTCAGAAACCCTAAGCTGAACCATTTAACTACCATTTCATCTTCCCAAGAAGAAATCCATACAAAATCCACCAAAAACATTCACCGCTGATCTAAAAGCAATTTTCTGCCGTTCAGAACCAAAAAAAAAAAGATAATAAGCAAAAAAATCAACTTTTATTGAAAAAAAACCCCACATAGAAAACTCAAAATCGCGTCAACAAAAACACGAATGACGAGACAAGAAACATGAAAGAAAAAAACAAAAAAAAAATCTGTAATCCCACCAAATAACAACCGGATCCGAAACAAATTAAGAAATACTTAGCGCTTACGAAGGGATTATACCACCTCTAGAATCAGATCAGGACCTTCTCTCTGCTTCTCTGCTCCCCCCTATCCGAAGAAGTTAGGGCTACGAAGTCTAGAATTTATTCAGCCGGTCTTATATTCGTCTTTCTTAATAGAGGGCGGCGAATCCTGACCGTTCAATGTCTAATCAACGATTACTTTTTTGGTTAATTTTCTTGCGTTGTGACATTTTCGTGGAGTGTATCTTATATCAATTTAAGATAAAATTACTAAATTATTGGATTTATTATAAAATAAATATATTATATGAAAATAATTAAATTTATTTATTTTCAGATTGAATTTAAAATTAGAGTACTTTCATATAAATTATTAAATGTTTTTATATATTTAATACTTGAATATTTACATTTTATTTTATTTTAAATAAATTAATATTGATGATATCTTTAATATTAATTAGACTTTTACGTGTTACATTATATTACCAAACGGTTTCCAAACATAACAAGCTTATACTCAAATCGAGCGGCTCGACGAGACGAATCAAACGAGCCTAAGATAGTGGAATTCCGACATCATTAAGGTCTTCAAATGTCTAAAGAACGGTGCATGATTAAGGGATTCAACATCGGCCGTTCATCCGACCACTCCCCATTTACCCTTGATCTCTCACTTATTTACGGGCCATGTCACTCCAAAAATCTATAAATAGAGCTCCCTCTCCTCTTGAAAAGGGACCCCCCCCTGAAGCCTAAGGAAAAAAGAGAAAGATCGGAGATCGCTCTTGCTCCACCAGAGCACCGCCTAACGACGTTGCTCCGCCAAACCACCACCTGACGCCCTGTGCTCCATCGGACCACCGCCTAACGCCGTCGCTCTGCCGGACCACCACCTGATGCTTTGTGCTCCACCGGACCACCGCCTAACGCCGTCGCTCCGCCGGACCACCACTTCAGGCCCTCACCTCCGCCGGATCACCGCTTAACGCCGTTGCTCCGCCGAATCACCACTTGAGGGCCTCACCTCCTCCGGACCATTGCCTGACGTCGTTGCTCCACTGAACTACCACTTAAAGCCCTGTGCTCCACCAGGCCACAACGTGAGGACCGAACTTCCACCGAACCACCACCTAATGCTGAGAGTTCTCCTAAAGTACCGCTATCCTGCTACGATCTTTCAGACTTCTATCTCCTACCGACTACGGTCCTCCCGACCTCCGTCGCCTACTATGGTCACTCTGACCTCCATCACCAAACAACGGTCTTTCAGACTCCTATCTCCTGTCGACTACGGTCCTCCCGACCTCCGTCGCCTACTATGGTCACTCCGACCTCCATCACCAGACAATGGTCTTTCAGACCCCGGTCTCCTACCGACTACGATCCTTCCTACTTCAGTCACCTCCAATGGTCTTTCCAACTAAATAAATATGTCTATGTTAATTATTATAACTCCCACCATGTAATGCGCTCTATATGACGTACATTTGTAACATCAGACCAAGGTCTTCTCCCTAAGAAGGGCCTCATTTGTAATCAACTACAAATACTAGTGGATTCATTCAAACTGGGCTAGGCCCCGTGATTTTTCCCCCTTTTTAGGGGTTTTCCACGTAAAAACTCTGGTGTCTCTTATGAACGCTACACCCTCTCACTTATCTGATTGTGTGTTAGATCTTCGTACAATGCTAAGACGTTAAACTATATATTTCTCTGCCGCCGCGAATACTCCAGGACGCAACAATTCTAAATGAATTTTTTTCTTTCTATTTAAATATTCTTTAATCGGGATATTTTTTGCAAATTTTGGACCAAATGCATATAAAAATGAAAAAAAATGTGCAAAATGCATTATAATATATTTCAAATAAAAATTAAATAATTTATCTAAATTCCCGTTTTTAAATATAAAAAAGATATACTAAAAAAATTGTGTCGAGATATAACTTTTTTCTTACATTAATAATTTTTTTAAATAAATATAATATATAATAATCAATCATTTTTTCTATCACATTCATATGAAAAAAAAAAACTAATGACTTTAACATCCATGATGAATAGAAATAGGATATCTTGAAACTTTATTTTTTTTTTTTCATTTCTATTTCTTGTTAATAAATTAAAAAAAGATAAGATTTTTTCATTAAATTAAAATTTGCCAAAATATTGTGCTCCTTCAATAATTTCAATAAAATTATGTTATATAAGTTATATTATAAATTGCCTATATATCTCAATCAATATGAGTATTGTGCAGAGGAATTTGGCCAAGAGACTTACTCCTCCAAAATATGCTCTCTAAAGAGAAATTATTATGTACGGATGCCGGACCATCCGAAGGAGAATCAGAATGCACAGTGAAACCCGATACATAGTAATACATAGTCGTGATACACAACAACAAAAGTGACGTGAAACATTTTGATTCATCTTTGGATGACGTCCGTATTCGCATAGAATACTTTTACGCTCAGAGGACTGTATACTCCAGTAAGACTCGACAAAGACGAGCACTCACCCTAAAGAATTCACCCTAAAGAAGCTCGATCAAGAAAGCACGCACCCCATATAAGTTTGATTGAGGAACTCGCCTCAATAGATCATAACTCAATGAGGTACTCAACTCAACTCACCTAAGAATTTGCAAGAGAGAACTCTTTTGAAGGGCAAATTATTGCATCCGGTCACCGGACGTGGAGATAGGTCTGGATATTAATAAAATATTATTTTAAATTAAGCGTGTCAAAAGTGCAGGTAAAGTGCAGATAAAGCGCAGGTCAAAGCGCAGTAAAAAGTACAGGTAAAGCGCAATCAAAACGCAACTAAAACGCACATAAAGCACAACTAAAGCGCAAGTCAAAAGCGCAAGTGATGTGGCAAATTTTTATTGGATGTCCGAACCTATTTTTTACGTTCGGTGACCTGATCCAATAATTTGCCCTCTTGAAGACTCACGCAAGGTACTTACCTGAGAGTCAAAGGCAGCCAAAGTCACAATTAAATTAATCTTAAACAGCTTGAATTATTCTGTATTTACTCTTATATTAAATGAATTATTGCACAATTAATTTTTTTTAGGATAATTAGTTTTCAGAAAATTGATATAAATTTTAATTGATAATCTATACAATACACTGATTTTAAAATAAGTTGAAAGATTTTAAATTTTATTTTATCTAAATTTAAATAAAAATAATTTAAAATAATTTATTTATCAATTAGATTATGAGATACACAATAAAGATCCTATGTAAATTTATTAGATTTATTTGTCTTTGAGCAATATGAATTTTTATAAGCTAGCAATTGCTTTGTTTTAGAGATTGTTTGGAATGACTTTTTTACTGTTTCTTAAAGCAACTTTTTAGTACAAAAATTTTATTTTATACTAAAAAGTTATTTTAAGAAGAAATAAGATAGCAGCACCAAACGAAACCTTAATACAAAAAAGTTAATTTTTGTATTATGAAGCTGCTTTAAGAAGTAGTAATAAAGTCGTCCCAAACGAAGCCAAAAAAGATTTCTTCTTGCCTTGCCCATCATAGAGATCAGAAGTAGCAATCTTTGCTAACTTACCCATTTTGAATTTAGACAATGTTACATGATAAATCTGAACTACTTAAATCTAAATCTAAATGCTAGAAAGGAATTGTAATGACAATTAATTACATAAAAATGAACTAAAAAAGGCTATAAATAATCTGAAAAAAAATGCTGGAAGTATCCAAAAATAGCAAACTAATCCCAAAATATTATTGATGTATATTTTGCGCTGCATCAACTTCCCTGGGGTGGCTGATAGAGCAGTAATTGGCTTGAAAAATCATGCATATGCTTTGGGAAGCTTATGCTTCATTTGAAACAGCTTTCTTACTACTTCTTAAATCACCTTTTTTTTATGTAATAGAAAGCTGTTTTAAGAAGCAATAAGAAAGTCATCCCAAACGAACGTTAGTTTCGAAAGAGGTGGCGAGATTGGTTCATGAATGTCTCGTGTCATCAACAAATGCAAACAAAACATAGGAAATATAATCATACGGGGCATTGGATTCGAGTGTTACCATATGACATACAACTTTCTCAAAATGTGAAATTGAAGCCATGGGTGAGGGTCTCATAATAACGAGAAATTATTCCATGCGGAGACCGGACGCATAACGTCGTCCAGAGACCAAAAGAATGTGCCACGTCAGCGGTATCGAGCAGCGGTACCAAGCAGTACCAAGCCACGATACCGAATACATGGGTGACATGACGCATTCTGATTGGTCTCTGGATGACATTTGGCATCTACAAAAAATAATTAATCATAATAACACGATGGTGAAAGCAGCGGTAGAACGTGATCTATATTTTTGGCATAGAATCATGCATATAGTTCTGAATCCTGTGTGATCACAGGCATATTTGATGAAGGAAATTGTAACTTAGCACAACAGTATGAAAACGCCGGTGAAAGCCGCGTTAGAACGCAATCTACATTTTTGGTGAGGAATCATGTAACAGTACTGAAACCTGTGTGATCATATGCATATTTGATGAAGGAATTTGTGACTTAACGCAAACAGTATGAACAGAGGGAGGCTTTTGATCCAAGCATTGTACAAGTTTCTCAAATTAATGTTATAGTTGAGGAGCCCATATTCACATGGTGGTAAGAACAATAATAACATATGCTTGTGTAGATCCTAAATAATATATATGATTTTTGAAAATGAATATTAATGTGTACATTAATGTTTTAAATTATAGAATCTATTTTGTTGTTTATTACTAATAAATGATATTAGATAACTCCGATTGTTATTTATTAAAAGATAAATGAATAAATATTCTAATTTATATTCTGGGGCATCACATAACATGACTTAAATCTAAACTTATGAAGATGAAGCACACAAAGGCTTTGGAGCTTATCTAAGTTGGATTTCTGATGATGAATCTAATAACACCACATGAATTTGTGACCCAACATATTTCATAAATTTGACTAAACATATTTCTTCATCTCTTAGCACTTTTGAATAATAGAAGTCATCTGAGTCTATAGCTCAACAAAAAGTGAGGCACGGTCTCTTTGTTTGGGATGGCTTTTTTATTGCTCTTCTTAAATCAATTTTTTAGTATAAAGTTTTTATTTTTTGTACAAAAAAATTGTTTTAAGAAGCAACAAGAAAGTTGTCCCAAACAAAATCTTAGACTCAAGTACAATAGTTTTAAAAGAGGTAAAATGCTTGATTTTTGACAGCTAATCATCATGATTAGGTTCATATGTAAAACTTAGATCATCACAAAAAGAGTAATCCCTAATTGGCATCTGAAATAGGGTCATCCATGCCCTATTTCTAGGAAGATATTTGAAACCATGAATGTCACCTTTTTTGAAAACAACTCATACTACTAGTTCTGAAATTCAAGGGAAGAGTGAAGGAGAATTTCAAACTTGGGAGTGGAATTCCTTATCATACAACCAAACATAGTATAGTCAAAATCAAAAAATATCATAAGAAATCCAAAACACGAGTATTTCCCAAAGTATATCTCTTATGTCTCAACCTCCACCTATAAGTCCTAATCAATCCATGCAAAAAGCAGCAATTAAGGAGCAACAATATGCATACTCAAGGAAAAGAAAGAAAAATCAGCATATGCAGAGCAATGAGACACATCTTGCACCTGACAAATCTCCTTCAATGTATCCAACAACTGTAGAGATTCATACAGAGGATAAAAATGAAGAAGTTCAAAAGGAGAAAGAGTTATCAAATGGTCAGAAATAATCATGCAACAAGAATCCAATCAAAAATTTTCTCTCCTATAGTAGATTATCAGACACTTATCAAGTGTTCCTTTCCAAGTTGGATGATGTGCAGATTCCAACCAATTTTCAAGAAGCTTTGAATTACCCATGATGGAGACAGGCTATTAAAGTAGAAATTATGGCCTTGGAGAAAAACCAAACATGGGTAATTATGAATGTCCCACCAGGAAAGAAAGTTGAGACTTGCAAATTGGTGTTCACCGTAAAGCATAAAGAGGATGGTAGTGTTGAGAAGCTGAAAGCTAGACTGGCTGTAAGAGGATTCACTCAGTCTTATGGAATAGACTATCAGGAAAATTTTGTTCTTGTTGCAAAGCTCAGCACCATCAGGATTCTTCTTTCCTTAGCAGCAAATTTAGATTGGCCCCTACATCAACTAGATATCAAGAATGCATTCTTGAATGGGAACATTAAAGAAGAAGTCTACATTGAGATTCCAATGGGAATTCAGAAGTTTTATGGAGGGGACAAAGTGTGTAAAATGTTGAAATCCTTGTATGGATTAAAGTAGTCTCCTAGAGCATGGTTTGGATGATTCTCAAAGTATGCAAAAGGCCATGGTTTTAGACAATGCCATGCATATCATAACTTGTTTTTGAAGCAATCTAGAAGAAGCAAGGTAGCAGTAGTGATTGTATAAGTAGATGACATCATCCTTACTTGAAATGATATAGAGGAAATAATGAAGATCAAACAGATTCTATCCAAGGAGTTTGAAGTTAAAGATCTAGGATCACTTAAATTCTTAGTATGGAGGCAGCTCGATCAAGGAAAGGTATACTTGCGTATTTGCTTCCCAACACAAGTATACCTTAGACCTACTAAACGAAACTGGCCTGCTGGGAGGCAGACCACCCAATACACCTATGGATCCTAAGAAAAAAACTTGGGATAGAAAAGGAGGGTGTTCCAGTAGATAAAGGAAGATATCAACGCTAGTATGAAAGATTATATACCTCTCCCACACTCGTCCAGATATTGAGTTTGTTGTGAGCATGACGAGCCAATATATGAGTAATGCTACGAAAGAGCACATGGAGGCAGTATATCAAATCTTGAGATATCTCAAGAACACCCCTGGAAAGGGGTTATTATTCAATAAAAATAAAGATAGAAAATTAATCATTTATTCTAATACAGATTGGGCAGGAAGCCAGGTTGACGGTCAATCGACAATAGTATACTGTTCATTTGTGTGGGGGAACCTAGTGACATGGAGGAGCAAGAAACAATCTGTTGTTTCCAGAAGCAATGTGGAATCTGAACTGAGAGCATTAGCATTTACTATTTGTGAAGGCATTTGATCAAACAAGTATTGATTGAATTGCGAATAAAGATTGAAGGAACGATAAAATTGAAATGTGACAATCAATCCGCAATTAGTATGGTCAAGATCCAATACATCACGATAGAACAAAATATGTTACCATTGATAGACACTTTATATATGAGAAAATAGAGAACTCAGAAATTGAAGAAGTATATACCCTAACTCATGAACAACTTGTCGATGTTCAAACAAAGGCACTAATGGGCTATCTACTTGATAAGTTGTTTTCCAGCTAGGATTGTACAACGTGTACAACCCAACTTGATGGGGAGTGTTGAATCACACAGCAAGGAGGGGGCCCGCGGCTTTGACAGGTCAGCAATCTCTGGGATGCAACCGTGAGCTGTAGTTGGAGAATTCCTCTTCTAACACCAAGATCCGTGTGATTGATTTCAAAATCCGTGGGATATAATTATTAAGATCAATTAGATTAAATGATTTTCCTCTTCTGTTTATTATTATTAATTAGATTAAATGTTTTTCTTTTTTCTATTTATTCTTCTAAAGTGTATATATATGTAATGATTCCAAGGAATAAAATTTGAATTCAATTTCTCCTAAACAACTTATTCAGTAGGTACCTAGACAAGCACCCCCGAATTCACCCACACACTCCAACAAAAGCATCACACACTCCCATGTCTAAACCCATGACAAAATATATTATTTATTTAAATAATTTTGTGTAGTATCACTAATATATAATGTGTTGGTTATTATTATTATGCGCATAATTCTATAAAAATGCATAAAGAGAGGTTATGTATACAAGTTATTTCCATGATTCAAACAAATGGCATCCATGTCACTATAAAGATAGTTTTACCACTACTCCAAGTTTTCCTTCTTGGAAAATCACATATATCACATATCAAAACATGAACATTAGCATATAAGCACAACAAGATTCAAAATTTAATATTCATCCGATTAAAACATGTAAAATGATTCCCTGTATTTTATTAGCCAACTTGAAATATGAAGTTTTTATTAGCCATCATAGGTATTTTAATGAATATTCCTAAATTGATCAAGAACGTTTTTTTCTCAATTCTACAATTAAATTGTCATTAATAAGGACAAATCATCATAAAATTAGGACCCCAATAATTTCACCAAATAAATTCTTCATAAAATAAATTATATGTATAATAAGTATGCAATGGAAATGCAATGCTATGAAATCAAAAATCTTCTATGAATTCCAAACTTAAGATGTGTTTAAATAATCAATTCAAATACCTCACACTGATTATAGTAACTACCAAAAATAGTTATTGAACTGAACCAATAATATATATCTCCTTTAACAAAATATTTTTCTCAAACCTATTATCATTTAAACATACAGAGAATAAGAAAGTTTCCCTATTACATGGGATAATCACCCTTCATGCTCCTTAAATTACTCAAAATTTCAAAAAGTTCTTACCATGAAAATAGACAAACAATAAAATACCACAATGAGAGGGAAGAACTAAGAGATATGGGCCTGCAAGGTTGCTCACAGCCTGCTTTTGGGTTGGGGTAAAGTAAAATTGTGGTAATCGTGGTAAAATTAAACCCATATATGTGATTGTGTATATAGTCAGACCCACATTTCCCCAATAATAACACACTACCCAAACAGACACATGTATGCACACGCATGCAATATATGAAGAATATAAAATGCTAACTCATTGGATAATATTATGTTAAACAACATAATAAATATTAAAGTTTCATGGCATTCCAAGTACAAAAAATTTCTAATTTGAATTAAATATATACAGTTAAATTATTTAAGTTTGCAACCTTTATAGCCTAGGATAATCTCATATTTACCATCATTATTCTATCACCATCATCCATGTATCTTCTCTATCATTTATTTAGTATCCCTCTATTTGTTCATCTGTCTAATCGTACTTGCCTTCTTCATCCTCAATATTTACCAATCTAAAATTAAAGCCCTTGCACATATGTTAGATCTAGTTTATTTCCAGGAGTGCATCCTTATTTCTCCAAGTCTTGATAGTCTTTTCACATCATCCTATATCAATTTGTTGTCACAATAAATTAACTCGCCTTCAACATTAGCAGTACATGTGAATCAAGGCAAGGAACTTGTTTTACTGTCTGGTAGCTTAAAGCAAGGCATGCCTTTCTGATGGAGCCCTTTTAAATACATATTCAAACACCCAAAAAACACTAAAGCATGTGTAACTATGTAAGTGGCACTATGATTTTCCAAGGATGTGAGTGTACACATTTAACCACCTCTGAAAATTTTCAAAGCCAGCCAAATGCCTAAGAGTTTTAGTTATCACTCTGTCGGGAAGAGATCGCTTCCCACTTATATAAATCAAACAGCCGAAGTGTTCTCGAACACTTCCATTCAACAAAACAATGCCATGACTAAGGCTTCGTTTGGGAAGGCTTTTTTTTTTGCTTCTTAAAGTACTAAAAAACTGCTTTAAGAAAGAAAGAAAGCCGTCCCAAACAAAGCCTAAAGCTATCATAGAGTTCCCTGGTCCTAGTAACATACCAATCCCTGCTCTTTCCTTCCATCCTTCCATCTCAAAAAGTGAACTAAATCAATGTCACTTGAAGAAAGGAGTGGTGAGTAAATAAAATTTTTTAGGCGTTAAATATGTAAATGGAGAAGAATTACTCTTATGAAAGTAACTCCCCGAATAGTTTTCATGCAGATCAAAGTATGTTAAAATTATAGAACAAACTCAAGAGGTATGTAAGTCCTAAGCAAATGCAAAAGGCATGACTTAAATGTGACATCGAACAAATGCATCCAACACATGAACTTAATAATAGCCTAGTAACAAAGCAAGAATTAAACCGCAAAGCACACATCTTTTTATATAGTTGCGTAGCCAAATACAACTAGCGAAGTAGGAATGCATCAAGCAGAATGAAGGGGCATACCGGAAGACTACTCATCCTCGCCACTCTCGTCACTGAAATAACTCAACTTTTTCTCCTTCGTCTTCTTCTTCTTCCTTGAGTCTCTCCCCTCTTCCCTCCCCTTGGCTTTCTCGTCCTCCCCCCTCGTATCCACCACAGAAGCCCAGTTATCCTCCTCAAATGTCGTGTCCTCCCCGCCATCCGAAAACCCGTCCTCACCGCCACCATCCACAAATTCCTTTCCCCGATTAGCCTCTCTTCTCGTCCTCTTAGGGTTCGGCCTCTCTCTTGCGCCCAGTTGATTCCGAGGGCACTCGTAGGAGAGGTGTCCCTCTTCCCCGCACTCGTAACACCGGCTCTTGTCCTTGTAAACCCTACGGCGGATAAATTCAGCCGCACGGCCATTATCAGCGGCAACGGAGACGGTGATGGTGCGTCCATTGAGGATCTTCTTGTTCATGGTGCGAACGGCGGCAGCTGCATCGTCTCGGGAGACGAAAAGGACGAAGGCCACGCCGCGGCTCTGGCGAGTGTCGCGGTCCTTCACGACGGTGACGCGCGCGACTTTGCCGAAGGTAGAAAAGATGGTGTGAAGGTCGGAGTTGGTCAGGGAGTAGTCGAGATTCGAGACGTAGACCGTGGATTTGGAGGGGGCGAGGCCGCCACTGCCGCCGCCAGAGCGCGACTTCGATGAAGAGGTCGATGCGGCGGGGCCGTCACCGGCGAAAGCTGAGGCAGAAGTGGAGGGGAGAGGATAGCGGAAGAGGATCTCATCGTCGTCGTCATCATCGCTTTGGCGCCACCGACGAACCATTACAGTTCCACCGCTGCACACTATTGGAAGAAGGGTTAAATAAGGGATCCGCTCTTGAAATTTGTATTTAACCTTATTCTAACCCGACCAACACCTGATAACACGAATCTGACTCATTTGACCAACATACAATTTTTTTTAATCAACATGATTAGTTTAATCTAAATACATCCCATTTAATTAAAAAATGACTCCGTTAATGCGAGCTCGAATGATAATTGAATCAATATGTCATTGTTGGTGAATGGCCTTATAGGTGATTGAGGCTTTGTTTTTTTACTGCTTTCTAAAGAAGTTTTTTAGTACAAATATTTATTGAACTGAGAATTTCTGTATTAGAAAGCTGCTTTAAAAAGCAGTAAGAAAGTTGTCCTAAAATGGCTTGAGTATTGTGGATAGTATCTCTTAATATGCATGCAATTTATTAATGGGCCTTGGATTTATAATAATTGCTAGTTCTAGAGCCATAGTTGAGTGAAATAAGACAATATATAAGTTAGATGAAGTTCTAGTGTGTTCCAATAGATTTTGCATTGTTCCCATATAGATTTATGCCATAAAAAATGTGTAGTGAGAGGTAGCTTCATAAGGTATGCGTTAGTTAATTTTGAAACTACTCGGAGAGATGTAATTGTGTGGTGAGATGCAGTAATTTGATGAGTGCTTCGGAGATATTCAACAAATTGAGCGAATATAAAATATTGAATTCAAGCAACCAAGGTGCAAATGGTTATGACATGCAATAACATATAATGAAACAGTATAGTATGCATACAAAATAAACAACCACCTAAGTAGAACAAATATTGAGTAAAAAAGCCTTAAAATTTGAGCCTGGGACCATTATCACATCCATAATGCATTATGAACCAATTGATAATATCGGTTGTAGTAGTATGACAATATGTTCTATTGATTGTTGTCATTTGTAAGGTTATCCACTAAAATAATGATATCTTTAAGCAATAAATTGTTCACTAGTGAGGCATCGCATGGCTAATCTTATTTGATAGCAATGCATGTGAAAGGTTCACATATGAGTAGAACATGTTCAAAATCTTTCACTCATTTTAATGGCGACTCACGGGGTGGGTTAAAGTGATGATTAGTGGAATGAAATGCGCGTACATAAACACACCAGTAGAGAGGTGAAATAGGTGTGAAATGAAACTATTGAACTTCTTTTAAAATTATGTTGACTCTTAACCCTCATAATGAAGCACACATGAGTAAAATAAATAACTGAACTAAAAACACAAGCACATGAAGTACATAAGTATATCATATGATATACAATGTATAATATGTTAGAAGTGTGATTAATATTAAGAATGATATAAGAAATATTCATAGCACTCAACAAAACAAGTGCACAAATTTGTACTCAAGTAAATAAATCCTACAAGTGCAACATCACACAAACTAAATGAACATGTAGACTATATGATAAAGCAAGTGAGTGAATATATGATTATTAAATTAATTAGAATATTAGTTGGCTCGATAAAGCGGGGGCAAGCCAATACCGAGAAGACTTAATTTTGAGAATGAGACTATTTTAAAAATCATTAATATTGTTGAAAGGAGCTTGTGTGAGCTAATAAGATACTGAGAAAAGTCATAGCCAAAAGGAACCTAAGAAAGGCCTTAGGTTGAAAAACAAGTAACTTTGTATCAACTAATTTGTTATTGGGTTATTATAATGACATCATGGTCCCAAAAATCCATGATTTAATGGCAAAGTTAGTATTGTTTCCTTTTGAATTCCTTAATTAGAGTAATTATCTCATTTATTTAATGATTTCCTTCTATAAATGTCATTCACTATTTATATAAAATGATTCTAAAGGAAAAAAAAATGCCTATTGAGTGCAAGACTCCTTGGTGTGAGAGCCTTAAAGAGGTCATTCTTAGCATTTCATGAAATTGACGGATCAAGGAGTATTAGTAGGTTTACAGAGAGGGAGAGAGAGGCTATGGTGTTAGAGAACAAGAGAAAGTTAAGTTCAAAGAAGTGATATCTCTTACCTTGTTTTGCTATCTAATTCTATTAGTAATAAACTCGATTATTTTCTTAAACATAATTATTCATGTTTATAGTATCACTTAATACTAGTTTGTTTGATACATATAATGAATAACTTTTCAATGTCCTACTCATGGTAACACGTCACATTATTGGAATAAGAATGCTAGGGTTGGCATCTTTTTTTGAAAAAAAAAAATCATTTTTTGACGCTAATATTAAGCCTCCTAGATTAGAATTTAGTCTATATAACCCATTTTTATCACCCTATGATCCTTAATGGTACTATAGCACATTCATAATCCCTTTTAATTTACTAAACTCATGTGATTTCAATTATTTCGGCTAGGACTCAATTAAACTAAAGTCAGCCCTTAAAATTATCAAGGGCAATTCATGTTCATGTGGTTTATTCAACTTTGGAGTTATGTTATCAAACTGAGACATGTATACATCTAACCATTTTGATGTAAACAGTGTTATTCCCATTGGACTAAGTGCCATCTTAATCTAACTTACTTTCCCTTTAGACATATATCGACCTACGCTAAAAATAACTTGTTGACTTCATATTAAACACAACACTCTTGTAGATATATGTCTTTTAGTGACTTTTCTTATATGATCTGAACATCTACTAAACTCAGGAACAATATCCATTTTATTGACTTGATCTAATTCGAGGATGTATTAAATTGAAGTACACCTTAATTAGATGAATATAACTAACTCGACATTTCAATGCCCTGTTAATTATTAACTCAATATTTTATTTCACCAGAGTCAACTAATCATTAAAAAGAATATAAAATATGCATTCATAACATATATGCATGATATTCCTTCTAAATTACTTAAATATCAATAGTTTAGATTACAATTATAACAATAAAAGATTTAAATACAATATGAACTACAAAATTATGTGTACCTTACAAATCAAACTTCATGCTCAATACTAGACTAAAACTACTTATCGGAGTTCTTACTTTTGCCTGAATATTTTAAATCATGAAGTGAGTATAAAACTCAATAGGCCAACCATTTCTCCATATCGGAGCTCAATTCATAATTTATAATTAGGATAAACAAAATAAGAAGGATCATGCACTTTACTTTTTTATTTAGCATAATATAATACATGTTAAATATAAATACAAGAATGAACATGCATCAATGCCAAATAACTCCCACTTACCTCCTTTCATCTGCTTAAGATAGGAGCTAAACATAGCTAAAGAAGAGCAGGGCATATTCCAATTTTAAAGTCAACTTTGAATCTGAGCAAAACAGAGTAATCTAAAACACATATATTTACGTTAGGCCCCAAGCAGAGAAATACATTGTACTTCTTTTTCACCAAAAAGCTTCAAAGTATCATGAAAATGCATAATAATGTAAATACAATATATAATTGGGGAATCCAAAACACACACACACACACACAAGCTTAAATTCAGGTGTATATACAATGTTTCCAAAAGTTTACCAATTTTATAAAGATTATATAAAATATTAAATTGATATACTTTACCAACTTATTGAGGTTCATAGGTGACTCAATTATCCAAAACGATAAAAAATTCACACAGGGTAAACTAACTAATAAAATTTGTATTCTTACAATCGATGGCCATAATAGATAACATAATAATATACTAAAAGTTATATGATAAAATATTTTTCAAACTTGAGAAAAACACATCTAAAAGCATATCTTTCTATAGACATTTAAAAATTGAAATAAAAAAAAGAGTATGGGTTGCCTACCTTGAGCTCAACAAATTTTCCAACTAATTAAATGAACTATTTTTTAATTTTGACCTCTGAAAGCTCTCCTAATTTTTTTCTCTCCTTACCTTTCGTCCCATTTCTTCTCAAACATGGTAGTTGGGCAAATGGGTTTAGATGTTTTTGATATTTAAAAAATACTAACTTGACCTAGCATTGCGACGCTCGCTTTTCCAGCACCAGAGTGCCCACAGAGAATGTTTTAAATTCTCCAAGAATATCTTCACCAAACTCTTAGAACCGTAACACTCACCCAAATATTTTTTTTTTCTATTATTCTGATAGTTCAATGTCATAGTGTTGCGAATTTGGAGTTGCGACGCCCGCAGATGAATTTTCCATTTTGTGATTTCTTACTTCTTTAGCCTTGATTACCTAAGGTCTCATGACTCTCATTAAGCATTCTAGAACTCATAATTAATAATTAAATCAAAATTGATGGTTATTAGGGGAAATTGCATGAATTTTCTGATGATGAGTTTTACAACTACACATGTTCTTACCCGATCTAATAAGTTTGATGTTTTTAAAATTTTTGTATTCTCTCTCTATATGTGTTTGTGAGTGTTATGTGAATGTATAAATGCATGAAATTTACTATGAAGCAGATCCCAAGGGTATGTGTGCATGAAATTAAAATTTTGAAATTTTTTCCTAGGGAGCAATGTGACACTAGGTTTGGGGGCGTTGAGGCTTCAAGCTCCTGGGTTTGTTCATTTTAAAATGATATGGGTTGGTGCAACATCGTTGTTGTATGGAGCACTGTAGTGTTATGTCAATATTTTATAAAAAAAATAATTTTCTAATTAAAAAAAACTCATTGCCAAAATATTCCCCAAGTGAGGCAGCCCGTTATAGATATAAAATGAGAGAGCTAGTTCAAGATACTCCAGTCCATTTCTTTATTGTTGGTCTAGTTCAGAAAGTTGTCCGGATTGAAATATGTTACATTTCAACTATCTCAATTTTAAAAATATGAAAAATTTGAGGGTTTTTTAAATTTAAATTATAAATTGATAGTATAAAAAAGAGGATAACTTTACATGTGCTAAATTTTTATCATGTAACTTTTTATATGTTATAGGAGCAAATATTATATTCATTTTAGTATTTTTTGAGAAAAATCTATAGAACAAATTGAAAAAGTGCTAAATTTTTAATAATTTAAAAATAATTTTGATCCAAAAATAATATTTTAGTACATTTA